AACAGTTCTCTCTCAAAATTTTCCAACAGCTTATTCTAAAGTTCAGTTCTGACATGTAAAACTGCTGGACATTTTCCAGATAAGGGCAGGAAATAATGATCAGGACAGTGGGTTGTTTAACAAATGCCATAGAAATAAATTTCGTTGAAATCAACAAGAAATCAACAGAGCTGAATGTCAGGACAGACTGACAGGACTTTACTGTTGACATTTCTGCCATCAAAGTCATGTATATTTTAACATCTGCAACCTACCAACATAACACCTGCTCAATTGCATGACCGAGTTTCTAAAACTGTGGTACAATTGCAATGTTACATTTGCATTACCTATTAATCAATCCCCTACCAGTAAAAAAACGGCAGACTGCATGACAACAAATGTCTGCTGTCCGACTCCCTGGTGTCTGGGCCATAACAGAATGTTTCTTTATTAAACTTTATAATTAAATGTATACTAATATAATTAGATATTGTGTTGTGTAACAACGGTCAAGGTCAAATCCAGGGGTCAAAGATCAAACCACTCCAATCATCTTCACTAAGGAGTGTGTTATCAAGCACACTAAATCTCAAACGCAAAAGGTCACGGTCAATTAGGGTCAAATCTTAAGTCGCTAGTGTTGTCTGGGAAGATGTTTGGAACTAAAGATGGACATATCATAGATAACTTTGTGTTAAACTATTGTGCGTCATGAACCACTCTCAGAAAGGGAAGGTCACATCCAAAAATCAAAGTCAAATCATTTTAATAATGGTTTGTGCAATAATGTTTTAATCACTTAACTATTTTTCATGAAACTGTGATGCATCATGATCATGACTAAAAAGAGATTTACCATTAAACATGTCTGCAGCATCAAGGTCAAGGTCAAGGTCATTGCATGGGCCAGTGTCATAAAGATCTAATCCTTGTCAAAATGATACATAGTAAAACACTTTTAAATCTGTGTCTCTCTGTCTTTTCAGTTCTTAAGAACAACATATTTGGATTTTACTGTATGTCCCACTTCTCAATGTAAAATGTTAAAATACAGCTGTGTAAATAAAGATAAAACTTGTAAAAAAAAAGATGAAAATTGGAAATAAAGATAACAAATGTAAATAAAGATATAACAAATGTAAATAAAGATAACAAATGTAAATAAAGATAACAATTGTAAATAAAGATAACAAATGTAAATAAAGATAACAATTGTGGTAATTACAGCTCTTTGCTAAAAGTACAGTGGAGACCTACGTTAACTTCAGAAGTGTTGTTAGAACATGATGAAAGGTAAAAGGGTCATAAAAACTTACCACAGAGTCCTAATAAATGTATCTGATCAAGGTTACAAAAATGTATATGTATATTGGTATTTCAGTCAATCACCACGCTTTGATTTCATTTCCATTGAATCCCAAACAAAGCTGTCAAAAACCTCCCTTATAAGGAAGGAAACTACCTCATTTTGACCAAAATTTACCAATCTCCCTCAAAACTCCCTCATTAAAGTCCAAAATCACACAAACTCAAAATCTACATCCTACTGTCAAATGATCTAGTTATTTACTGCAGGGTGTGTGTAATGATCATAGCAGATAAAATGAATGCTTATTGGAGTCATTTTGATAAGAGCGCAGCAGTTTCAGTCGCCTTTGACACACTTTCTCCCTCATTTGAAATGTGGAATGAGGGATATCTCCATCATTGGAGGTTTCAGAGGTTGACACCTATGCCCAAAGGATCTAATATCAGAAACTGGTTAGCTATAGCTAGGCAAAATACCTTATTATACAGACTTTGAAGCTAATAAGAAAAATCCTTGCCAAGGAATAATCTTGTTATAAGGAAAAATTAGCAATAAGTGTGATTTTGTATTTTACTGTACAATAAATCTGTTTGATAGCATGAATCGATTTATAACTTTATTGTATACCTCACACGTACTGCCTTATGGTGCCCACTTCCAGGCTGTTGTTTTATACATATAAAGTCAATACAAGGTGTCACACACTCCTGTCTATAAGCATGAAAAATAAAAAATCATTATCAACTGTATACCTAGTATGTATAGTACAGAGTATAGAAGTATAAGTGTGAATTTTAAATAGCACTATGGAAATACACAAAGTCTTAAGTATATCTCTCACTTAAATTAATTTAATTAGTAGGTTTTGCACTTGAGTGAAAGCTACAGAGCAGACATTAGAAGTCAAATTTACTAAGCGTTGTGTTAAATCCTTAGAATTTTCAAGACAAAATATTCCACACATACATATATATAACAGCATTAATTACTGATCTGGTGGGCTCCATAATCCAAGTGATGAGTCTGTAAAGAACAGTCTATATAATACTCTAAACAATATTTGGCAAGCTACATTTGTGCAGCAGAGACTGCTGAGGAATTTGTTGATATCTTTTTAGGAGAATTGATTATTTGTCATCATGATAATCAATGCACTAATTCTTGTTTCTCCTCGCCTCCTCTTTCTTTGAAGCAATGTGTATAGAGGCACCTTGGTTATAAATTAACTTTATTAATAATCAATAGACATGAAACAAGTATCCTGAACTTATATATATATATATTTGTCACTCTTGATGACTAGGATGGATCGAAGCACTCACAGGGGTCTTAATGTGGGAGGATATCAATTGCAAGGTACCCAGATAAAGCGCATGTGGTTGAGAATGTGTCCCATATTTTTTCAATCTAGGAAACAGACCCCAGCCATCTTAACTGAAGTTGAGTTCACATATATCCACTGCGCCACCAATTTAATAAAAAGTTACTGAGCTGTCGAGTGTCATATCAATGTGTCCAAGTTATGATAATTCCAGTGGTGTGGTACTTTAAAAAAAGCAAGAGGCCCAATGGGCCTGTATCGCTCACCTGGTATAAAACTCACACTTGTAACCTTAAAAGTGATCTAAAATAAAGCTACAGGCAAAATATCAGTATTTATGATTAAAATTCGTTCAAAAGACCCTGTTATTTTTTTTTTTAAACATTTCACCCCTGTGATTGAAAGTCGAACAAAGTCATTATGTTGAATACATTGTATAGGCTTTCATCTCAGGATGCAACTTGCAAAGTATAAACATCCTGGGACCCATGGTTATTCATAAGAGGTTGTTTAAAGATTTTAAACAAATTTGACCCCTGTGACCTTGAATATAAGTCAAAGTCATTCACTTTAACAAACATAGTAGTCCTTGATCCCAGCATATGCTACTAACTAAATATCAACATCCTGAGCCTTTTGGTTATTCAGAACAAGTTGTTGAAATATTTTAAACATATTTGCTCCTTGTGACCTTGAATATGATTCAAGGTCATACATTTAAACAAACTTGGTAGCCCTTGATCCTAGTATGCTACTGACTAAATATCATCACCCAGGGCATTTTGGTTATTGAGAAGAAGTTGTTTAAAGTTTTTAACATATTTGACCCCTGTGACCTTGAATATGGGCGAAGGTCATTTATTTGAACAAACATTGTAGCCCTTTATCTCAGCATGCTACTGGCCAAATATCATTACCCTGGGCATTTTGGTTATTGAGAAGAAGTTGTTAAAACTTTTTAACATATTTGACCCCTGTGACCTTGAATATGGTTGAAGGTCATTCATTTGAACAAACTTTGTAGCCCTTCATCTAAGCTAGCTACTGGTCAAATATCATCACCCTGGGCATTTTGGTTATTGAGAAGAAGTTTTTTAAAGATTTTAACATATTTGACCCCTGTGACCTTGAAAATGGGTGAAGGTCATTCATTTGAACAAACTTTCTAGCCCTTCATCTCAGCTAGCTACTGGCCAAATATCATCACCCTGGGCATTTTGGTTATTTGTGCCAGGTGAGCTAAAAATGATAAGGGGTCCCATTCACTATGGACACTGTTTTTACTCTATAACCGAAGTCCTCTGCTGTTCCAAAGTATAAAATTATAACATGATAACAAACAAAATGACAAGCTTACAATGTTGGACAAATTACATTTTTGTAAAAGTATGAAAATAGTGTTTAAATGGGAGTGAAAGCTCAAACGTGCAAAATACACAAAGAAAGGGATGTTTCTGACCATGGTGTGGAAGATGTTCACATTCTGGCCATTCTTTTCTTATTCTTTTGTTTCAACTTAGCTTTCAACCCTTAACAAAATTGAGAAAAATGTATATGACTTTATCCTTTATGAGAAAGGAGCCATACTTTGAGTTGTATTAACTTTTGTCCAAATCATAACTCCTACATTTCTTTAGCTGTGACCATATATCATCGGCAAAGTAACACATAATGCGACATTAACACCGTTAACTAGCAAAGATATGTCCCTTGTTTTATTAATTTTTTTCAAACCATAACCTCTAATGGTTTTTCTTGGAGCCACAAAGTTTTAGGATTACATCTTGGCATGGTGGAATTTCTCATACTTAAATTGGGTACCTGCAGCCCCTAATATGCAGAGTTATGGCCCTTTGTTCAATAAGTACACATCTAACAATTGTGTAACGGACTAACATTGCTAATTTTATTCAGGGCATGCAGCCAGGAGGCCAGTCTGTTTACATAAATCCAGAGTCAGAATCTTTAATGATTATACTTGTTTTAACCCTTCTATCTTAGTATATGCCCATCAAAAGCACAATGTACTATGTTATAATGTCATTTGTAGTTCATCTGTAAAATATTCATGTGGAAATTGGATGAAAAGAAATCTTTTCAAGCCTTTTAATATATATATAAATACAAAATTGTATGTACAACAAACTCTGGTGGGAGGGGAGGTAACTCCGCCAGGAACAGTGGTCGTTACCTTACAACGGTGGCTAGTGGTATCAGTCACAGTGTTATGCTAATGACATGTCGTCATCATTGACGAATACATGGAACATTTTACGATAAGGACGCCATATACAGATACCGTATATTCTTATCTTACTTACCAAAAGAAGCGTCTCTTGCTTCAGCTGTCGCAGTGTCGTCGGTAATCAAATGTACCGCGACTTCAATTTTAGCCGGAACCTGATCACCGGAAGTTGATTGATAACCCTCGTTTCGTATGCACGGTTAAAAACGGATTGCATCAACAATGTGATTTACAATGGCAGAGGGTGGTAAAAGCACTGCTATTTCGCCAGGTTGGAGTTCGTCGACGTTGTGCAGGTATTCCAACTTCAAGCGAATATTTAGCGCCAATATTTAGTTATCTACGCTACAGTAAACCGGAAAACCTCAAATTTTATTATCGGTATCGTCTTCAGAAGTCGAGAGAAACCACTACAAAACTACTACAAGTAGTATTCCCTTTTTCTCAATCTTTGCCACAGAATATAACAAAGATCGTTGTCCCATTATATAATAAAGAATGATACCCTTCATCCTGTTTGGATACTCTTGGTCCCCATATAAACAGGTTGGTCACAACGGCGCATATGGGTAATGATCCTGCATTTGGGTAACAGTTACCCATTTGCAGTAACAACTTTATTACTCAGATGATAAAGTAAAAAATAAATGAAGTTCTTTTAAACACCTGGAGCAAAAAAGGGTGTCATTCGTTCAACATAATCCAATAAAAAATACAATACCAATTGTGTACAAAAAAATGTTAAAAGGGTGTGAAAATGACAAATTGCATCACCTCCATTCCTTAAAGTGTTCTGTAGAGTAGCTATAAATAGCACACAGAAAAAATCGTGCTCACCTGTCAAATTTGCACTGGATGATCCCATTGACTACACACTGAAGTCGATGAGGAGCAAAGTCAGTGATATGGTTTGTCATTTGGATAACTTTTTGTGAACAAATGTACTTCATTGTGTTATATATTGGATTTAGTTGAAAGAATAGCGCCCTTTTTTACCCCAAGTGTTTAAAAGAACTTGATGTGTTTTTATTTCACTATATTCCCCATTTGAGTAATAAAATTGTTACTGCAAATGGGTACTTTCAGCAAAGGAGAGTCAAATCGTTTATATCACAGAGCAGGCACCGTAATATTTGTAGTAGTACTCACCCTGCCAGTAAAGGACGGAATAATGGAGCAGCTAGCTCAGACCAGGATTTGAACCAAGTGCTTCAGAAAAATAGATATGTGGCTGTCTGGTTAATGGTAATCAACGATTCGACACAGGAGAGGAAAATGTAATCTGGGGTCAAACCAGGGTTTGAACCCAGGATCTCCAAATCCTGGACAGGACATGTACACTTACCAACTGAGCATCTTGGTCAACTGTTTTTATACGGAAAATCTTTACCAGTTGTTAAAAATATTACTCATGTTGGTGTTATGTTGAATTATAAACTTTCTTCATCAGATAGAACAGCCACGGTGGCTAGTTAAAAATATTACTCATGTTGGTGTAATGTTGAATTATAAACTTTCTTCATCAGATAGAACAGCCACGGTGGCTAGCCCGAGTTTCCTCTGACCTAACACCAGACTTAGACATTTTGACATATATAGATGTCTGGTGTGGGGCCAGAGCGCACTGCTATATCAAAACGTGGAATTCTCCAAAACTGTTTGGTATCAGGTCAGGAAGTGACATGTAATCAACAGAAAGATGCGGTCTGGAAATCTTCTAAACAATAATAATATATTCTGTTTTCTGTCCGGGTCAGTATGGTTTGTTGGTTAGTCACCCTATGACCTACAAAAAGGGCATTCGCTCAGGTAGGAAATTTTGAACGATTGAAAATTGAGAACTTTAGCAGCTGTTGGCTATAATAAGAGGAGGTAAAACACTAACAAGCAAAAAAAAAAGAACAGACACAGCTATAAATTAGAATCGACTTAAAAAATCTAGAATACCATATTCTTACACAATATTTGGTAAATATTTTGAAACCCTTCTCCTTTGCACAAATGGAGGTATTTTAACCAACTTTGGTCTAAGAGCATCCTTGGAGGTATTTTATTTTAACCATAGTTAGTGTAGAGAATCCTTTGGCAAAGTGGACTTATAATTAATCTTGTGTAAAACTTTGGGTGTTGTAGAGCAGCAGAGCCCATTAAAGGAAAGTGGGATAAATCTTTGAAATCCTTAAGACCAGATCCAATCTAGAGCAACCTTTGTCCAAGGGGAATAAGGAGTACAATGTTGCATAAAGAGAGGCCAGCAATATTTTTGATTTAAAAATCCTAAGTGGTTTATTTAACTCTCACATAAGGAGTTGAGGGTATGTAGGAATCAGCCTGAACGAACATTTCCAAACAGTGTTACCGCTATAAAGACTTCATTTCTATATCTGACTGTCACGAAACTTCACACACATGTTGACGCACATCACCTCTTGTACAAGTTCTCTACAGTTGAACACTTGGTCACTGTGTTACTTAGTTGTGGAAACCGTAGCTTCTAGGCCTGATCGTTATATTATTTTTAGCTCATCGGGTCTGAAGGACCAATGTGAGCTATGCCATACCGTTTCGTCAGTCCCTCGTCTGTACGTCAACAATTTCTTTAAACGACTTCTTCTTTTTAACCACGGATTGGAATTTAGCTAAATTTGATTGGAAGCATTCCTAGGTGGTGGGGATTCAAAATTGTACAAATGGTGGGGCTGACCCCCCAGGGGGCTGAGGGGTGGGGCCAAAAGGGGGCAATTTGGCTATATTGCTTTAAGCAACTTCTTCTCTGGAACTTAGAGACGGATATCAGTCATATTTGACTGGAAGGACCCTAGGTAGTGGGGATTCAAAATTGTACAAAAAGTGAAGCTGACCCCCCAGGGGGCTGAGGGCGGGGGCAAATCGTCTATATTGTTATAAGTGACTTCTTCTGTAGAACTATGTTATGGATATCGATCATATTTGGTCAGAAGCATTCAATGGGGTCAGGGATCCAAAATTGTACAAATGCTGGGGCTGCACCCCCACCCCCCGGGCTAAGGGGTGGGTCCAAAAAAAGTTAATTACTTGGAAATGGTCGAGATCTCCACAGTATAACCATATATACAATTGCTGAGTATAAAGAGAAGGATGCACATTTGCTTCCAGGATGGCACTAGGGTCTGGCCCCACCCTTGAAGACATGGCCCCTGGGTCATAACTTTGAAACGGTTGAGATCCCCATCCCAGAACTATATAATACAAATGTTGGGCATAAAAGGATGAATGCAGTGATGATGTTAGAATAGACCCTGGGGTCTGACCGAACTCCTAGGGACCTAGTTTCTTAGTCTCAGCTTGGAAACAGTTGAGATCCCCCCCCTATAACCATATACACAATTGCTGAGTATAAAGAGATGAATGCACATATGCTTCCAGGATGGCCTTGGGGTCTACCCCACCCTTTGAGACTTAACCCATGGGTCATAACGTCACGAATGGTTAAGATCCCACCCCAAAAATATACATACAATTGTTGGACATAAAGAGATGAATGCAGTCATGGTATTAGAATTGACCCCAGGGTCTGCTCAACCCTTGCAGACTTAACCCCTTGGTCATAACTTTGAAACAGTTGAGATCACAACCCCAAAACTATAATTACAAGTGCTGGGCAAAAAGAGACAAATGCAGTCATGATATTAGAATCGATCCTGGGGTCTGGCCACAACCCTAGGGACCTAGTTTACTAGTGAGTCACAGCTTGGAAACAGGTGAGATCCCCACCCCATAACCATACATAAAATTGCTGGGTATGAAAAATCTAATACAGATATGCTACAAGGATTGGCCTTGGGGTCTGGCATATTCCCTTGGATCTCATTTGGAGAATATTTTGCCATTATTGCTTAGATATCCAGGAGAGTGATACAGGTCCTCTGGGCCTCTTGTTTTAAAAATAATTCTATTATCCTACCGATAATAAAAAGAAAAATGAAAAAATGAAACAAAACTTTCATGCCTAGAAGCTACGGTTCCCGCATCTATGTGTTACTATAACAGCTTGAAGTGCCAAGGTATTTGTGTTGTCTGCGAATCCTTGTTTGATTTTGAACTTTTGGTTCATTCAGTGATGATTTTTTATTGTAGATATTTCGTACATGGTGCATGTCGAGAAGGGGAGAAGTGTAGCTACTCACATGACAGACAGGACAAGCCATCAAACGTCTGCCGGTTTTACCTGAAAGGATCATGTACTTATGGAAACGGTTGCAGGTCTGTAAATGATGTTATAACCAGTTGTTAGTCTTAACTGTATTACAATGCAAGTGATTTTGTTTTAGAGAGGACATAAAATGATATTACCGGGGTACCAGGTAAAGATAATGACAATGAATGTTATGAATATTTTACCTCTTTCTTAGCAGGAGAGTGAAAATGTATACTTATCAGTTGTGTAATTCAATATTTTGTAGTATTTACTTGCAGGGAATTTTGTATTAGGCACGCCCCTTTTGTTTAACTTTGTACGTACATTTTACAGAAGATTGGTCCCTTACAGTAGATAAGGTTCAATTCAGTAATAGGCCGGCCCCATGACACATTTTAACAAATTTTGAGTTAGAATGACTGGACTTATCACAGATGATATTTGGCAATATGGTAATTGTTTACTGCTACTGTAGTACATTATAAGCATACCTATTAGTCCTATCAATTATCCATATGTCTGAGACAATATTCAACTTACATAACTGTTAAGTGATGTTGTAACATGCAGAAAGAAATTGATGTTTTTAGTGACTTTCATTGTTAAGTGCTTTCCAACCAAATGCACTAAAATTATGTTACATCTAAAATAACATCATCTACAGTAATGTGTTTATAGTTATAAATACTTTAAAGTTTTACAATATATTTTGTCTGTTACAGGTACGACCATGTGAAACCAAAGTCAAATTACCATGAAAACACATGGATGCCTCCATCAAACAAACCACCTCCCTTAAACTATGGGGAGACAAAGCCTTTTGGGAACATGGTATCTCTTAAGAAATCAAAAGAGGATGTTGAAATAGTGACGGTTGTGTCTCCGAGGCCTCCTGATGAGTGGGTCAAAGCCACAGAGTTTGTACCTGGCCAACCATACCAGTGTTCAACAGGTTAAGTGTTTACCTGGTCAGCCATATCAGTGTTCAACAGGTTAAGTTTTTACCTGGTCAGCCATATCAGTGTTCAACAGGTAAATATTTTTACCTGGTCAGCCATATCAGTGTTCAACAGGTTAAGTTTTTACCTGGTCAGCCATATCAGTGTTCAACAGGTAAAGGTTTTACCTGGTCAGCCATATCAGTGTTTAAGAGGTAAAGTTTTTACCTGGTCAGCCATATCAGTGTTCAACAGGTAAAGTTTTTACCTGGTCAGCCATATCAGTGTTCATCAGGTAGATATTTTACCTGGTCAGCCATATCGGTGTTCAAGAGGTAAAGTTTTTCCCTGGTCAGCCATATCAGTGTTCATCAGGTAAATATTTTACCTGGCCAACATACCAATGTTCAAGAGGTTGTTTTTACCTGGTCAACCATATCAGTGTTCATCAGGTAAATATTTTACCTGGCCAACATACCAGGGTTCAAGAGGTTGTTTTTACCTGGTCAGCCATATCAGTGTTCATCAGGTAAATATTTTTACCTGGCCAACATATCAGTGTTCAAGAGGTAAAGTTTTTACCTGGTCAGCCATATCGGTGTTCATCAGGTAAATATTTTTACCTGGCCAACATACCAGTGTTCAAGAGGTTAAGTTTTTACTTGGTCAATATATCGGTGTTCTTTTGGCAAAATTTCGACCTAGTCAACCGTTTCAGTATACATATTCATCAGGCAAAATTTGTCTTTGTTAATCATAGTTCTTCAGGTACAAGATACAAGAATATTTGTTTAATGTCGCATAACATAAACATAAAAACATTAGCTCGTGAAATTTGTACCCGGCCTATTGCATCCGTGTTCTTCAGATTAATAAACAGATTGACTGTATTAACCTAAGTGTGAGTGATTTGCTGTCTACCTTTGTTACAGTGCCCTTCTCCTACTCCAACGCTGTGGATACCAACAGAGACGGCCCCAAAGCTCTTATCATACAGGAAGGAATGGATCCCTACGCTGACCTGTCTAAACTGGTCTGTCCTTTCTTCGCCCAAGGTCACTGTCCGTACGAGGAAGACTGTGCCTATATCCACGGAGACATATGTGAAATGTGTGGCATGCCAGTTCTACATCCCTCCGACCTAGACCAGCGGGAAAAACACAATAGTGTAAGGATCTATAGCAAAGTTAAAAGGCATTTTTCCTTGATCCATTTAGGGTGAAAGTTTAGTCCATTTTCTTTCCACTATTTAATTCAATGCATCTGTTTGTAAAACACAAATGATTCTTTTTTAATTATCAGAAGAAAACCTTGAATTCTTATTTATTAACGGACAGCAGGATTGATATGGTGATGATAATATATGTGTTCTGGTGGTCATGTGATTGTGATTCTTTGTCATATCTTATGGCCAAATGTACAGTTTAACAGGGATCCAGTGTTTATTGGGCCATACTAACCGTAAAACATATCTGAAACTGGAAATATACTTTTTGAGACATGAACAAGTTATATATTCCCAAATACATAGTTTTTCTTTCAAAAAGTGTCAACACAACAAATCATTATAGTAATACATGTATCTCTTTTCTCTTGTTCCTTAACTCTCAAAAACAATTAAACAACCAATAAATAAGAAATAGGGTAAACTGTATCAAATCAAGAATGGGACTTAACAGAAAGAAGTCTTAAGTCTTCAAAGCAAATAGATTAAAGCATATTCAGGATAATGTGATTCATTATCAAAAGAATGTATGATACAATATTATACACAGAACTTATGAAACCAGTAGAAATGCTGATATTATCTATATTTTTACAGGAATGCATGAAACAGCTAGAACAGGACATGGAGTTATCTTTCGCCATTGCCCAAAGTAAAGACAAAGTCTGTGGTATCTGTATGGACACGATACTGGACAAGGAGCCAATGACGGAGCGACGTTTTGGTATCATGTCCAACTGTAACCATACATTCTGTCTCAGTTGTATACGGAAGTGGAGGGGAGCCCGCCAGTTTGAAAATAAAATTGTCAGGTATGGATCACAGCATAGCTAACAGCCAGGTATCTCATAATCATGGTGTGCAGTTATGTTATGAAAGTTTGTTATTTTGGGTTGCGATTGAATTTGTTAATAAAAATGAAAAATAGTCCTAGAAATATGTTTGCCATAAGCAGGTAAAATATGTTGGTGATTAGTGTGTTATTTTTTCCAAATATTCTGGTTGAATGTAACTTTTAAAGATTCCTCTTGTATCTGGTAGTTGTGCACTTTGTATTTTTATTTTTTGCTTTCAATTCTGGATTCTAGATGGCTGCCGCAGCCTTTGATTATCTGTTAGGTGACTTTGCTGATACTTCCTGGAAGTTGGAGTAAAATTTAAGTCATACAAACAACTTTGCAGTTTTTGGATTGAAAATGGCTGTCTTTTTTTATTGATTTATTCGCATATGGTTAGTTATATTGGGCATATTAGACTATCATCTTTTACACTGCTATATTTGTGATTGCTGAGTCAGCAAAAGTGTTGGGGATTTGAAAAAGTCTCTATTATAGTCATAACTTGTTGAATCTGGGTGTCTGCTGGAAATCGATTTAGTCGAGTTTTGTGAAATTTTGCAACCATTGTCATCACTTTTGATTTTATTGTGTGTGTGCTTAATTATTAATTTCTTTCATTTTGAGCGTTTTCATTTTGGAGGGTAAAGGGTATTACTTTGTGGCTCACAGTTCCGATTGAATGTTGACAGGTGTAATATAGTAATGTTGAAGTTTTCAGGTCTGGAGAGTTCAGTATAACAAGATTTGGTATTGATGTTGTTTAACTGTTGTCTTTTCAGGGCCTGCCCAGAATGTCGTGTGACATCAGACTTTGTCACTCCCAGTAAATACTGGGTGGAAAGTGATGAGGAAAAGAAGAAGCTAATACAGGGCTATAAGAAAGCTCTTAGGTAATTAGTGGTCTGCCACAGCGTGTTGTTGTCCCCACCACCAACCATTGATGTAGTTTTGTATCACCCATCCACAATCAACCCAACCCATCATTGATATATTTTCCTGCATTTCACTCGAACATGCCATAAATGTCTGTTTCTGCCCCCCTCCCCCCAATCCTTGCTCTTTTCCAAACCCCACTATTGATGTATGTTTCTGCCCCCCCCCCTCTCCCCAATCCTTGCTCTTCTTCAAACCCCACTATTGATGTATGTTTCTGCCCCTCCCCCCAATCCTTGCTCTTCTTCAAACCCCACTATTGATGTATGTTTCTGTCCC